ATTGTTCAATTTTTGCTAAATCTTTCGACTCATCTGCAAGAATTGAGAAAAACTTAGCCGTTTTCACTTCTTCAGATATTTCTACAGTTATTTGCTCTGCCATAATATCAAGCAGAGCGTTTTGAATGGAATGGTGAGTATATTTTGCATTTGATGGACCATGTTTAATTTTTTTATCGATTACGCTATCATGTTTTCCAACTAATGATAGCAAACTTAAAAAATTCCCATTGTTAGGGCCAAAATCTGTACTATTACCATTGCGTGTAACGTCAGCAATTCGAAAATTGGAGGTTCCTCTTATTCCAATCTTTTGTTCGGCAGTATGCGACAAAAGTTCACATACTGTTCTCAAATAGTGTCGATTTTCTTTTACCAACTTTAATTGTTCTTCATTTAATTGAGTGAAAACGTCTCCTTTTTCTTTTACTTGCTGATACATTTTATAGCTATTAACTATTTGAAAAAAGGGACTCGTTGATTCGGGATCTTAAAAACTCTAACAAACCTGAACTAAGAATTGACCTTAAGAAAACTAATGCTGAGATTAAACGAGCCTAGGCTCACAATAAGAGGAAAACTTGGATTGATATGTGCAGTAAAATTGATGCTAGAACTCCCAGCACGAAACTGTGGAAACATGCCAAGGCTCTGGGTAATCAGCATCCTCAAATAGAAAAATGTAATACAATTGTGAGCCAGGTCAATCATGCTCCCCTCAACGATAAGGCTGCTGCAGACTGTTTGGATGATTACTACACGCAAGTGAGTAAATTGTCATTCAATGAAAATGATAAACCAATTGAAACAAATGCGAGAAATAAGGTTCATAAATGTCGCAGTTCAAACTTTGGAGACTCCATCTTTATTACTGCTTTTACTAAGCATGAACTTGACTTTGTTTTGAGTGATGTCAATCCAAAGAAATCCCCTGGTCTCGATAATATACATGCTCTGGCAAACTCAGGTTATTGGATATTATTAATCAGTCATGGAAAAGAGGTCGTATACCACTTGTCTGGAAAAAGGCGATTGTCATCCCAATAAGGAAGATGGACAAAGATGCTGGATCTCCTGAAAGTTATCGTCCCATCTTCTTGACTAGCATCCCGTGTAAAATAATGGAGAAAATGGTATTAAATAGGCTTATTTTTTATCTCGAAACCAACGACCTGCTCCCAAAAGAGCAGTACGGTTTTAGAAAAGGCCATAGTACGATTGACCAAATCTTATATTTTTGCCAGAGTGTAAGAGACGCTCAGAATATGCGGCCCACTAACCATACTGTGGCTGCATTCATGGATTTAACAAAGGCTTTTGACAGAGTGTGGCGAAATAAGCTAATAATCAAACTTTTTTATGACTTTAGAATTAGAGGTAACGCTCTCCCCTGGATTTCTGATTATTTAAGGGCCAGAACCATCAGAGTTAAATTCAATAAGACCCTCTCAAGAAATTTTAGACTCGGCCAGGGAGTCCCCCAGGGTACCGTCTTGGGACCTCTGCTCTTCTGCCTATTTTTTGCTGGCATCGAAAAGGTGATATCTAAGACATGTAATGTTGGTATTTTTGCAGATGATGTCGTCCTCTGGCGCTGATATTAAGACTATTGAAGACAACATCAACCTCACTCTAAAAGATGTGAGTGACTTTGCTCAAAAACGCAAACTGGTTNTATTTTTACATTAAAATGAATAGGAATGATTTGGGACCACACTAAAACGTCGTATAAATGTAAACGTCGTATTAGTGATCGTCGTATAAGCGATGTTCCACTGTATTTGTTTTAACGGTCAAAATTTGCCTTATGAAAAGAATGCAAAATATTTGGATTTTATTATGGACCAGGAGATTCTTGGCAATAAGCACATCGAACTGCTGGAATCGAGGTGCAGAGAGAGGTTAAATATCCTAAAATATATTTCTGGGCAAGACTGGGGAGCAGATGCTACAACTTTGAAATTAACATACACTGCACTTATTAGACCCATACTGGAATATGGGGCACCTATTTATTCCTGTGCTTCAGAGACAAACCTGAATAGATTGGAAAGAGTCCAAATTAGTGCTGCAAAAATTATTACAGGTTTGAGGCGTAGCTGTCCAGATAAAATTGTTCTGTTTGAATCNTTAACAATAAGAATAACTAATGATTTTTAAGATTGAAAAAGATTTCGATCGGGTTGCGGGAAACATTACACGTTTCGGTCACCACTATGGCTAAATTGACTTCATCGGATAAATGCAAGAAATATATTCTTTTTAGAATAATTAAAAAATCAAATTATCTGAGAAATCGGGAAGAATTAATGACTAGGTTTAATAACATTAACAATTTTTTAATAAAGGATTGGTTAAGTGAGTTACATGTTGAGAAATTCAGACGAGATAAATTGTAAACCACCATCACCGACCGGTCCCAAGCTTTAACTGCCGGCCCGGGGGAACAGGATACAAGACATGTTGGTTGAGGTAAAGATGGTGCGCTTTGGCCTCGACTACCATTTCGGTGAGGCAAGTCCACGAATGCACTCAGTTGAAGAGATGCTAATCTTATTTCAGAAGGTGGAAAAAGCAATTGTTTGTAATGGAATAAAAAAGGGATGAGATACACATTGGATTTACGAATGTTTGCTGATAAAAATTAAAAGCACTAAAACTGACAACCTCCTGAGAGATCACAACATTCTGCAACTGCCGTCACCATCAACTCTTCACAGATTGCTGGGGAAGGTTAAAAGCTCTTATGGATTCGATTTATCCATATTTATGTGCTTAGCTGAAAAATTTAAGATTATGTATGAATATGAAATTGAATATTTTTTTATTGTAATAATTATATTATTAATTTCTTCGGTATGTTTTCTCATTATTTTACATTTACTGGTTTTAGGTGCAGTTTTAATTGATGAAATGAAGCTGTCTCCAAGTTTATCATTCAACAAGCAAACCCTAGAAATTCAAGGCTTCGTTAATCTTGGAAAGTATACTTCATCGAGGCAAGCATCTGAGAGGGGTGACCATGCTTTGGATTTCATGATACAGCCTTTCAGGTGCAAGAGTGGCGCTAGACTTAGCCCGACAGATTAATCTTGGAAAGTATACTTCATCGAAGCAAGCATCTGAGAGGGGTGACCATGCTTTGGATTTCATGATACAGCCTTTCAGGGGCAAGTGGGTGCAAGAGTGGCGCTAGACTTAGCCCGACAGGGCGTCAGCAATGCCCCAACAGGGGGGCTAAGATAATTTTGAAAATAAGCAATAATTTTTAATATACGAAAAATAATTAATATTATATAGACATATTTGTTCTGATAAAAAATTTAGCATGATTCAAATATTAACAGAGAAAAAATATAAAAGTGATATCTGAATAAATAAAAAATATATGCACATCCATCATAAGATTCTACAGTGCTCTCAATTAAATATTATTTTACTCAAACAATAAAAAAATTATGCACAACTAGAAAAAATTCCAAAGAGCAAATTAAAACCAGTTTAGATATTTTTGTAACAGAGATAATTTTGTTTAAAAATAAGTATAATTGACTAATAACTAGATTGTTCAATTTTATTTTAATTTAAACATTAAATTTTTTAAAACTCTAGTGTTTTAGGAACTAAATTACGCGTCATCTATATTAAAACAAAACTATAATTTGATTCACTTAAACATAATAGTTTTCTCCTTTACGCTTCAGTTCCACTTGTTAAGGAACTAAGGAATATTGTTAAATAATACTAACTCGATAAATAACTTATTAATAAATGAAATTTTTAAAAAAAAATTTACATTTCTAAACTGGTAAAAAAAAATTTAATCAGGTGAATCACTTAAGTAAACCAGAGCTAAAAAAAGATGTTAAAATGATTTTTAAAAAAACCAGTTTATTTGTAAGATGAAGCTATTTTGAAGTGATAAAAGATAAATGTTTTTCTAATCTTTACATAAAAAATTAAATAGCTAATAAATAAATTTGCGATTTTAAAAGTTTAATCGCTAAGAGCAAAAAAAACCTCTGGAAATAATTTTTGTAGGAAGAACTATAACCTGCAATTTTAATAGAAATAATTGACTGTGTGTAGTTAAATAATATTTTTGGTTTCCTAATGTAATTTAATTCGACTTTTAGGGTATCTTTGGTAAAATATATCGACTATTTTATCTAAATTAATTTTCTTGCTTCCCCTTGAATGTATTCCTAACAACATGAGATTTTGGAATCTTTTTTCGAGCATGCTTGTCCTCATGTAATTTTTAATAATTCTCATGGTGCTAAAACTCCGTTCACAGGAACAAATAGAAATCGGAACCGTGCATGCTATCTTTGTAATTCTGCTTAGCTCAAAAATGGCGTCGGTTACAGATGAAACGTAGCTCATGAATTCCAGTAAGGTCTTTGGTTTTTCTGACTCATTCTTTCTCTTCTTGATTCTATGCATATTACGTAGCTCTAAACGTAAATCTTCTTTATTGCATCCATAAATCTCCTCCAAAGATAAAATATGATCTTCTTGCAAAAATGTTGCAGTCCCAGGCACAAGAGCTTTTATTCCTAGCATCAAGGCTTTGTTTTCTTTAAAGAATCGCCGCTCAATTTCGGCAAGAGTATTGTCAATGACTGAATAAATAATTCTGAAAATACGAAGGAAAAGATAAACATATTATTAATCCAAGAAAATCGAAAAACTATTTTAATCATATTTAACTGAAACAAAACTTACCTACGGTAGTTTTACAACGTGTCTACTTCATTTTTTTCTACGGGTGACTCAACTAAATATATGAGCAAGTTCTTTGGCATTTGCCGAATTCTTTTAGTCTTTGCTTCTCCAATTCCCACTTCCTGACAAATCGAATGAGCCTCATCCCAAAGTTCCTGTAATGCAACTTCATATCTTAAATCTTGAAGGTTTTCAATTAGCACTTTAAGTAAGTTTAATGCTTCAGAATAATCAAGTTTTGGACTTTGTAAAAGATCAGATACTATTTTTGAATACTCAAAAATTTTTCGTAAGACCAGACCTAGTCTTACGAATTCTGGTGAAATGCATTGCAACAAACTCTGTGCTTCTAATTTTCTGTCAGAACCATGCGAGTTGCTGTTATTTACATTTATCAACACGGCATAAATGGCTGGTAGTCTCTTACAAAATATTTGCAGCATAACTGCTTGGGAAGCCCATCTCATGTCTGATATTGGCTTCAGTTCTATTACTATTAAGTCTGCAGCTTTTTGAGTATTTACCCATAGAGGGTGGATGGTGCTACAGCTTATAAAGTTGTACAATTTCTGAAGAACAGAAAAACACTCATCGACGCATTCAGTTAATTTCACCACTTCAACAATTACTAAATTTAATCTGTGGTTGAAACAGTGGGTATAAAATGCTAGTGGAGCAAAAGTATTTTTTATAATAGCGTTAACGCTAGCATGTTTTTCGGACACCACTGATGCTCCGTCATAGGCTTGTCCTATACAGTTTTCTACAGTAATTTTATTTTTTTCAAGAACATTAATGATTTTCAAAGACAATGATTTTGCATCTAACTTTGACAATTCTGCAACAGAAAGGAATTCTTCATGTACATTCCCTTTGTNTCCTAAATGCGAGAAGGCAAAACAATGATTAACATCAATTATTTCATTTCAAAAACGACGATTTTCATAAATCTTTTAAAAAAGCACCAGAAAAATTGGGGTGTAAATATGGGCCCTCTTCAAAAAAGCCACCAAAAATAGTTTAAAAACAGGATAAAACAATACAAAATGGTAGAGAATTTATTTATTGCAAGAAAAAAAAATATTTGCAGAAATCGCAAACATAACTGGCTCTTTCACCCCCGGCACAGTGTCCACATTTGGCACATAACGCATCTTACCCACACCTCTCCTCGAGTGTCTTCAGAGAACTTTCCATCACAAAAACTGCAAGTTGCATCGCTTGAGTCTGGTTTATCCCCACCGTTGACATTTATTAGATTCGTATCATCATCGCTGTAGATAAGAGGAGGGTCATCGAGTCTGATGAGTCCGATGATGAATCGTATCGTTGCGTGGGCCGAATTTTCCTTTTTTGAAGGCCTTTCGTCTTCCCACCCTGCCCTCTGGCCGGTCTCTTACCCCGGGAAAACTCAAGGACGTCTTCTTGAGAGCACTTGTCAAGCGTCTTGGTCAACTGATCTTTGTATGGTAATCCGGTGATGAGGCTGGACCTTGCTGCTTTGCGTCCACGAGTAGTGGTTATCTTCTTAATGTTGGGAACAGGAGATATGTCGAACGGAGAAATTGCACTTGAAGTTCCCGGGGAACATTGAGGTATTTCAGCTACCTTATCAATTGGCATAACTAGAG